AATGTCCTCCCTTCCTGCTTTCACTCTACCAACAAGGCTGGAGTTTGGAGATAGCATCTGAGGTCTCCTAATAATGCAGGTGTGTATACACTCACTCCACTCAGTTTCCTCAAAACCTTGAGGACTACTATTTGGTTCCATCAGTTTACCACCATAACTATTATCTGTTCTCCACTGAACTAATTACTCTTTTCTTCTTTTTCTCTCTGTTTCACTCTTTTGGTACAGAAGAACATGAAAGGTGTGGTCATCGTTGACATGCTTGATAACATGGAAAATTCTGTTTCCTGCAAATTGTTTAATAATGAAAGACCAAAATAATACAAAACTAACAGGCAGAGCTTATGATTTTTTAAGTTTTGGAGTTGAATAATTGTTTGTACATTTTATTTTATTTTTACTTTTTGTAAAGTTTATTTATAGAGAGAGAGAATGCACACAGGGGAGGAGCAGGGAGAGAGGGAGTGAGAGAGAGAGAGAGAGAGAGAGAGAGAACATTTCAAGCAGGCTCTGTCAGCACAAAGCCAGATGTGGGGCTGGAACTCGTGAGTGGTGAAATCATGACCTGAGTCAAAATCAAGCATAGGACACTTAACTGACTAAGCTACCTAGGCACCCCTACATTTGGTTTTATTATAAAGTCACAGATTTGTTGCCAATAAGAGAAAAATTGGGGATTTAAAAAGAACAAAAGTGAAAGAAAATTATTTCTGTGTGACTTGTGTGATAGACCATTCACATAGATTTAGAACCTCCAGAATCTTAAATACTATATTAGCATGGACCCACTTGAAGGCAAATTATAAGATTCCAATCCTAAATAGATTATAGATAAATTAGAGGATTTTTAAAAGAAGTAAAGCCCACTATTGAGTAAGTAGTGAATTAATCAAATTCAGAAGAGACCACAACCATGCCAATGGTAATTAGTTTATCAAACATTGCTATTGGCAGGCATTATTCATAGAACTTTGTTTTTAACTCATTTAATCTTAAAATGATTCTGTTTTTGTCCTCTTGGTAGCTGAAAACAACAACCATTTTATTATATCAAGTTTGTATGGGTCAGGCATTCAGGCAGGTCATGGCTCCACACAGCATTGATTGAAGTCACTAGATAGTTTTCCACTAAGTCAGGGCTAGTCTAGAGCATCCAAGATGGTTCCATGAGCATTCACTTGGTGATAAATGACTGCAAGGCTGGACTCAGCTGGCCCCTTTTTACTTTCCATACAGAGCTTTTCTACATGATCTCTCCAGTAGGATGTGGCATTTCCTACAAGGTGGCTAAGGAATATGAAAGGGAGGGTTACAAGAGCGAGAAAGTAGAAGCTGCTAGATTCGTAAGGCCTAAGCCACAAAACTGGATCAATGCTATGTTTGCTGTGTTCTAAAGCAATCACAGAGTATTCCCAGATATTAGAGAGAGAAGCATCGAAGAATTTTAGACCATTTTTAATCTGACCTAGTCCTGTGAGGTGGATACTGTATTCTCCCCATACTTAAAGTCACACAGAGCTAAAGCATAGATACGTAATCTTCTAATGGTCTCAGAATTAGTAGAGAACTATGGATTTGAACCCAGGTAGTCCAGCTCTAAAATGTGTATTTTTAAACACCTGATAATCCTTAATCATTTCTAGACATAGACATTCTCATGAATGGAGGCTCTTTCTACTTCTGGAGGCAAACTGGCAGTTCTATTTTGTTCTTTTATTAATTTTTTAAATGTTTCTTTATTTTTGAGAGAAAGAGAGAATGAGAGCTAGTGCAAGCATGAGCAGGGGAGGGGCATGGAGGGAGGGAGATACGGAATTCAAAGCAGGTTCCAGACTCTGAGCTATCACCACAGAGCCCAATGCAGGGCTTGAACTTAGAGAATGTCTTGGTTGGTATAACATGGACAGTGAATCTGTTTTTTAATCAGTCAGTATGGTCAAAGCCTGCATACTGCATTGGCTTAGATCTGGTTCTGGCCAACCCCCATAACCGAGTAAATGGAGTCTCTTGTTGGAAAGAGGGAGGAAGAGTTACATCGCAGACAAGCACCACTGAAGCCCAGAAAAACGTGTATGTAACCAGCAATTTAGCCTGACACTTGAGTCAATCCTCACTCCCTTTTCCAGTTAAATACATAAACAACTTGGTTTTCTAGAGAACTTGTTGCCTTCCAATGACGTCATTATTTTTTAAAGAGTTTCAAGCTTCAGAGAGCAGGTGAGGAATGTTTTGGAGTGCTACAGCCATTGCTAGCTTTTGCATTAGAATTGTCACAAAAGCTCATCAAGAGAGTATCTAATGTACTTAAACTTTGATATTTTTTCACCAGGGTATCCCTAGAGTCTAGCACAGGTGGATGGATGGGTGAACAAACGGTTCAATGCAATTTAACAAGCACTTATTGAACCATCAAGTTGATTGATTATCTCCTTAGAAAGGCTGATAATTTTGGCATTGGAGGTAGTAACAGACTCAAGAGTTGTGAAAAAGTCCTTAGGGAGTCGTGATTCTCAGAGTCAACAATGGCTGTGTAAATCCTCCAAGGGAAGGGAAGCTCAGCACCGGAAAGTCAGCATTATCTCAGGCCAAGCCCCTCTAGATATGTGACCACTTTATAAGAGCAGATGCTATCAAATCATAGTTTCCATGATGTTGAAAGCATCTGGACTACTAGGTACTGCACCTCTTTGAGCACTTTTCCTCATAGATAAAATGTTAAAATTAAAGCTGTGTGGTCAATAAGGTCTCTCTTGACACTTTCTGTGATTTATAATTTTAGTGCTGAAAAGAACTATTTCCTGGAATGATCTGTATGATTTTTTTTAAATGAAGTTATATTTTAAATGTACTTGGGTAATGCATTTTAAAGGAACTCTATCATTAAATCCACAAAATGAATAATCATTTTCTCTAATCTGTCCATTATTCAGCATTTGTGTAAACTTGGATTTTCATAAATCGAATTTGCCCAAGCTGCAACTGCAGTGCCCATTTCCCACAAGCCAAGACTTTACTGGATTCTTTGAAGCCCCACTAAAAGCCATGAGGTAGCTGTTAGCTGCAGGGCCACCAGCACCTCCTTTATCACTTGGCATTCATATAATCTAAGGAATCTATTATACCAGAGTGCCAGATGGATTCAGAACGACACAAAGGAGTGCCAGCCCTTTCAAACCAACCCTGCATGGTTTGATGGGATGAGCTGAGGGATATATTTCAAACACAATGAGACTGGGCTTTGTCACAGGCAAGAATTATGGTGGCAGAAATCACATTCACCACTTCTTTTTGGGCATGTGGTCGGTATGCCCTGGCTTGCTAAGATGGTGCCAGTTCTGGCACAAAATGGAATTTTAAACTTAATCCAACTTCCTCCTGCCAAAAAGAAAAGAACTCAATTATTTGAGAATATTAATGTTAATGACCATAATTATAGAAAATGACAAGCACATATGTATAAGTCAGTACATTCATTTGTGTATGTATAAATACATAGCAGATACATAAGTGCATTTATAACAAAATATTCTAACTTCATTGTGCCCAACAAATGAAAGCAAAACGCAAGACAAAACAAATTCCACCCCAAATACTTGTCTTGTAGGCACATGATTCAAAGCAGGCTAGATGTGAGTTAGTCCTTTTGTCACACAAGGTGAGGTGGGAGGTGCAAAGCAAGAGGAAAGTGGCAATTCCCTCAGTGAAGAAAATAAGATATCTTCTCAAAAAGAAAATTTGACTTGGCCAATCAACGATCCCAATATATTTTTTGAATGCATCCCAAACTATGTCTGGGTAATTTTTCTTTTTTGTACTCTTAAATTGTAGAGCTTTAACCAAAATCCATGATGTAAGGGAAGCAAAAATGCACGCACCCTCTTTAGATTTGAAATAGGGCCAATGTAGTGTAACTTAAACACTATATAGGCACGTTCACATTCACACGCACGCATACGGGGGCCCAGAATTTAAAAAGTATGTTGGATCTTGAGCAGGGTTTCTGAATAGTAACACTATTGACATTCTTGACCCGATATTCTCTGTTGGAAGAGGATATCATGAGCACTGCAGAATATCCAGCAATGCTCCTCACTGCTATGTATTACATGCTAGTAAGCATCCTTCCCCTCACACCACTTCTCACAACTAAAGATGTTTCCAGACATTGCCAAATGTTGGTTGTTGAGCAAAATGGCTCTGCTTGAGAGACACCGGTCCAAGGCAAAAACCTCAATTACTTATCCATTATGATTCTCCTAAACACTCTTATCTACTGTGGATATTATTATCAAAGATTGATTGTCAAAACACATAGTTTAGTTCTGTCAACTGAATTTTAAGGTTATTTGTCTTAGGTTTTATTTCTTAGAAGAAGAGCCTGAAATAGGGATTTGTGTGCAAGCAGTTTGTCAAGGGTCTGCTCCATGGAGATATCTGTGAATGAGGGAAGCGGATGAGAGAAGGGGAAGAAGACGTAAATATATGGCTTCAGATGAAGTCTAGCCATAGTCTGATCCCCTGGAAAGCTCTGACATGTAAATTGAGTGTAAGCTTTGAGGCAAGTATTGGGCTTTAGCACCTCACACAGGTCAATCATTATCTAAGTGCTGCTGGGTGACGGTTGAAAATTGGCTATATTGAACTACACCAAAGTGTCTGCTATAATATTTTTTCAGAAAAAATTTTGATGAGCTTTATTGGCTTCAATTATTTTATCCAGAAATGAGTATGATTATGAAGATGTAAGCACACCAAGAAAGACAAATATTGTCATTAACCATGGTCTAGTGTAATACTCTTCATTTAAAGTATAGGTGAATTAGGTAGGTGAAGGGGACTAAGCAAGGGTGCACATCATTTTTTTAAGTGTGTTTATTTAGGTAGTCTTTATACCCCATGTGTGGCTTGAATTCATGGCCCCAAGATCAAATCACATGCTCTTCCAACTGAGCCAGCCAGGCTTCCCAAGAGTACATTTATCTTGATGAGCACTGGGTGATGTATAGAATTGTTGAATCACTGTATTGTACACCTAAAAATAATATAACACTGTATGTTAACTACATTAGATTTAAAATATTTAAAAATTTAAAAAACATATAGTTTCCTTTAAAAAGATATTTTAATAGAAACCAAAGTGACATTTCTATGTATCTTTTGGCTATAACGATACCCCTAACCATAAATTTTCATAACATCTCTTAAATGTTTATTCTTTCTATCTATCTATCTATCTATCTATCTATCTATCTATCTATCATCTATCTATCATTAATTACAAAGGTGACAGCCCAGATCTCCAGTATACCCTTCAAATAAGTTTTATTTTCTCTTTTTTCATTAGTTTGTATTCTGGTAAAGTGAAAAAAAAAAAAGAAAAAAAAGAAGAACATGACACTAAAAAAAATGAGTGAGAGAAGGTGAGAAAGAAATATAACTCATATAATTCATTCCAAAACCTAATGCAAATAAGTTCCTGATTATTGCGTGGGGGCTGCTGTTTCATTATTGTATTTTGGGGAAACACACAAACAACCACACACAAATACACACACACACACACACACACATAATGAAAAGATGACTTACCATCAAATATCTTTTGTTTGGGGAAAAAAAGTCAGTATATCTGCATAAAACTTTATGAAAATGTCTTTCAATGTACCTGTCATTTAGGTATTGTTTGCAATTGGATGATATCTATAAAACTATAATGATGAAAAAATCCTGACAGAGATTCAGTCATCTTTGTTTGGAAAATGGTAATACACACACTAGAATCATTTAAATTATACATGTACAAGTCCATTAAGTGTTCTGCTAATTGCTGTCATGGGGCAGCTTTTTCAAAGTTTACAGTCTAGTTGAGTAGGCAGAACAAACACACAGAAGATGATAATTAATTCTAGGTCATAAGTAGTTAAGCAGGTGGTAGTCATAGGATACGCTATAGGGAATGCTGAGGGAGAGAGGCTGGGTGATTGTTTGAGGTAACCAGGACATACTTTATGGCAAAGATGGTACTTAAAATAGGTTTTGAGGCTGCATTAAGTATTCTATTTTTATATAACATTTAGCTATTCCAGAAATTCAAAGTGTTACTTTTGATGTTTTAAGTTCAAGTAGTGGTGCTGGCTTACTTGGGCAACCCAAAGAAAATAGTGAGGGGTTTCTCTTTAGGATTTGTGATTTTTTTTCTTCTTTTTAAGAAATGGTGTGTGCTAATTTTAAAAATTCAGAAAATCTACAGAAATTAAAGATACTCCAAGCCCCAACATCTTCTGTAGGCCACTATTACATTTTTGATAAATGTGAATGGATATATTTTCATAGTTTGAGAGACAGACTTGACTTACACAACTATGGTCTAGAAGTGATGAGAGAAGTTGTAGTTGAGCCCATATTAAATGCTTCAGTGCCTACTCACCTACAAATGACCATCAAATATCTTCTCGATCATCTCTGTTACCAAGAAGTCACTAACTCCTGGGGAAATCCAGACTATTCGAAGAAGCTGAACGTAGTTTGATGTTAATATATTATGTCTAAATCTTCCATCTCTCAGTTCTCATGCATTTCCCTGATACCAGGTGTCCCAAGAATAAATTACATCTTCCAATTGTGAGGTTTTTAAGGCTTCTTTTCACCTTCTTTGTATCTTGACCAAGCCATTGTTCACCCTCTGCTGAATACTGTGGGAGGTATTCACAAATAAGATTTCCAGAAGTAACATGATGAAATAAATTCTAAGTACCTTCTGAATTGTGCACAGATATATCAGAACTGAACTGTGTTTTGAAACAAAATGTAACTAACTAATAGCTAATAATTATCACAGAGTATGAACAACAATATTGCTTTATGAAGGAAAGCCTTCATTGCTTATGGGTCTCCTGTGCTCCTCCAACCCTGAACAGCCTCAACAATACATTCTGTTCTTTTCTGTTCAATATCTAACAAGAAATAATTATGTGTGTCAGCTTTCAGCTTTCAAAAATGAGAGAGAGAAAATGATTTATAACGGAAAATTAAAATTCCAACAGTTGGAATTTTTATAAATTCCTGTATTTCTCAGAAAGCGTATGCTGTTAAGCAGTAGCTTGAAGCCTTTTGAAATCACTCTCTGATTGTACCTCCCTGTTACCTCAGTGGCAACCAAGGGTATGTGAATTCTCTGTACAAAAGCAAATCAAAACAAAGCAAAAAAAAAAAAAAAAAAACCCAAAAAATCCTAGAGGCAGTAAATTCTTTCGGTACTGGTGTTCCCTGAATAACAAAAGAGAAAAAAGAAAAACAGTGGAAAGATAAACTTACATGGGAAGTTCATGGTGACCACTGACTCTCATTCAGTGGGTAATTTGTTTCTTATACCACTCCCAAACTATCCTGATTAAAGGTCTCAAACTCATATAGAGGCTAGGCCACTAACATACATGAGTAAGAAGAGCTGGCTGAGGATGATTGTAACTAAAGAGGTAATGGACCATCTAACAGTGGAGGGTGCATCTCAGTATCAAATGGTTACTCCTCTTTGGGTGTTTGGTCTCGTCCACTGTTGCCAGATGTTCTGATGTTTCTCAAGAGATCCTTACTTACCCCAAATCCTTGCTAACACCAAATCCTGATTTTTATGCAAATGCTCTTGATTTTTAACTGTTTGGTAAATAATTAACTTTTAAAACAAAAAAAGCTCAGTGGGTTGAATTTGGACAAAAGTAATATCTGTTTGATATCTCAGATGTAGAAGCTTTTAGATGTTAACCGACAAATCTAATAAATGGCTCAATTAAAATGATCTTGAAGTGAGGCCCCTGGGTGGCTTAGTCTATTAAGCATCTGACTTTGGCTCAGGTCATGATTTTGTGGTTCATGAGTTTGACCCCACTTTGGGCTCTGTGCTGACAGCTCAGAGCCTGGAGTCTGTTTCAGATTCTGTGTCTCCCTCTCTTTGCTCCTCCCCTGCTCATGCTCTGTCTGTCTGTCTGTCTCTCTCAAAAATAAACAAACACTAAAATTTTTTAAAATGATCTCGAAGGGTGAGAAGGGTTGGGATTGGTGGAAAGTAATGGGAACATCTCACACTAAGCAGATAATCATATTTGAATACAGAGAAATGGGAATAACCACTAACATGTGGATGTGACAGTAGAGTGTTCCAGTGTTGGAAGTATGTGGTACCAACAGAAAAGGAAAAAGGAATTATGGAATGGGCTACATGGACTGTAATAATGGAGGATAGTTCATGCCAGCCATAAGGAAAAGAAATGCAATAGAAATTATTGGAAACAGGGAGACATTGAACAAACTGGAGCAGAAGAAGGGCCTAATACAAGCAGTATTTAGTAGAAGTGTTCAGGAAGCTATGCCCAGGATAGAGACCTGGGCCATTTTGGAGATGGTGCCCCCGTTTTTGTTGACCACCTACTAGTGATCCAGTGGGGAAACTGTAATTTGGGGAAGACTGCAGAACACCTTAGCTAGTTAGGATATGGAGAGAGAGATCTTTTGGATTATTAAGCCTTATAAGTATCTTTCTACTTCTGCTCCTTCATTCATTCATGCCACATGCCACACATATCTACAGAGTACCTGTTCTACCTCCTGTGCTATACTAAGAACTAAAAGCTGCATCAGAAAATAAAATGGAATGAGAGGCACCTCAGTTGGTTAATCATATTTGAATACAGAGAATTCTGTATATATTCTGTAAGATATTCTGAATACAGCCGAATATCTGACTTCAGCTCAGGTCATGATCTCACTCTTTCTGAGTTTAAACCCCGTATTGGGCTCTGTGCTGACAACTCAGAGTCTGGAGCCTGCTTCAAGTTCCGTTTCTCCCTCTCTCTGCCTTTCCCTCACTCTGTCTCTTGGTTTCTCTCTCTCAAAAATAAACATTAAAAGAATTTTTTAGAAAATAAAATGGAATGAGTAAATGCAAGTGACACTTGCACTAAAGGGTTAGACCTGAGAGAAAGTAACACAGGGAGCTGCAGGGGCACAATAAGACAAATATCTGAACCAGTGTTTGTGGGCAGTAAGGTATTTAGAAAATGGGCCTCAAAGTAACTGAGCTGTAGAGGATATGTAGGGGTCAGCCTGGCTGAACATGGAACAAGAGTGTTCCTTGCCACAAGGAAGAAGACAGCATGTTAAAGCTGACATAGGAGCTGAGAAAATCAAAGTATACCTGGGATGTGAAAAGAAAGGCAGGAGTTTATTAGAGGAATCCAAAAAATGGAAGTTTGTAAAAAAAGAAAAAAGTGAATTCCTGAAGATATTCAGAAACCACATTCAGTGGGTCTCAGAGGCCTTCTTAATGAGTTTACAAGTACTTTAAAAGCAGGAGAAAAATAAGATCCAATTTTTTTTAAATGAATTGGCAACCGTAGAGTTGGAGGCAGAGGATAAGGATTTGAACTTTTTAAAAAATTTTTTCTGTATAAGGGAATTGACCCTATCCAACAACCCAGAAACCCTTACTGATGTTTATACACATATATAAGTAAATACAAATCCCTGAGACTGTCCCCAGTATTGTGGCAAAAAAAAAAACAAGGAGGGGCCTTGGTGGTTGAGTATCACAACTCTGAGTTGTCCAAGGTTGAAGGCATTTTAGAGACCGTTGTCTCTCCGTCTTTATATCAAGGAGGAAACTGAGTCCCAAAGAGGACTCATACATACAATCACACAGCAAGTCGGTGTGGCACAGATAACTCCTGGCACAGATAAGTCCCAGCACAGATAAGACCCACACCTCAAAAAACAGTGTTTTCACAAAGTTCAAATAGTTTTTTCATTAAAGTAGAAAAAATCTAAAATGACAATAAAACTTTTAGCTGTGGGGTTTCATATCCATGGCAGAAGAGAAGAGCTATCCCAGTTTAGTTAGTCCCTGAAGTGGAACACAGATATACCCAAGAAAACAAAATACATAAGCAGTCGTGTAAATGTGAGAAATTGCTAACACTGAACTCATGAAACTTTCAGCCTTGCTTTTTTCTTAATGAACTAGACTCTGATAAGAAGGCCATTCCATTATTTTTGACACCTATGAGGTTTTATTTCCCCCTTCACTGAAATTAGAATGAAATAATCTTAGGAGAAATTAATATTTGCAAAACTCTCAGAGGAACTTGTGTTGGGGATGTAGAAGGATTTCCTGGGGGTGGGGGGTCAGTCCCCAGTCCTTTCAGCCTTCACACGTAGAATAAGGGGGTATGAACTTGAACATCTTTAAGAGCCCTTCTACTTCAGGATTCACTGAACACAGATAACAAAATCAGATCTTCTCAGCCATTTTAATATACCTGATTTTTTCAAGCAAACAAGTTATTTACAAAAGATAAGTTTTTTTATATTTTTCATATCACTGAGTAGGGGTAGATATTAATCATTTTGGTAAATAGATTTCAGTTTACTACCCAAACACAGAACTGAAGCAACCATGTAAATTATTTATAAATGAACTAAGGAAGTCAAGGAGTTAAGTTCATGGACTGCTGATTGTTAAATTGTTCATGAATTGGATTTCAATGAGGCCTGCCCTGCCACTATACCAGAGCAAATTCTTGCATATAAACTTTGAACATGAACTTGCTTCTGTGGGCAAAATGAGCATGATTTTTCAGGGAAAGGCATGCACATACCACAGAGGAATGCCACCTTTCCACTAGTTCAATGCTTGCTGCAGAGGAACCACTCAACAAATGTTAGCAGAGCCAACGAATACACTCACCAAGATCTTACTAGCTGTGTTTGTTCCCTCAAGTGAGGTGTGCTTTTGATGAGAAACAGCAGTGTTTAGCCAAATGAACCCATCTTGATGATAAAATTTTTGGCTGTTTTTGGGGACTACAGGTGCTTTCCAGTGCTATTTGAAGAGGCCGCCAACTAAAAACAAAAACAAATGTGCTGCTTGTATAGTCATTGAACTGCTAGATAGATTTTTTTTCTGCAAGATCATTTCTATTTATGGAAGAAAGATGTCCTGGAGGAGTAAGAATTTGAGGGGGTTGGCAGGAGTTGAGAAGATGTTAGAATCACAGATGCTTTGAATGAAGAGCTAATACCTCTGGCTCCTCTTCTTACTCCCAATTCACTCTCAAAAATAAATGTTCATTTCCTTGAATTTTACAGAATAACTTAGGTTTATCAGGTCTAAAAGCCAGGCACATTAGAAAGTGAGCATGATGCTCTTCTATAATCTGAGTAGGAAGAATAAATACCTCTGTGAAAAGAACTTCGACACTTGCTGCATATATTTTTAAAGTGGGGCTCCCCAGCCTGCCTGCATGTTAGGGAATAATGAGGAGATTCACTTTTACTACACAGGACTAATATTACAAGTTGTAAAGGTGGGTGTGCAAGTATGAGTTATGTTAACGTGAAAAGACAATTATCTACATCAGACTGAAATGTAATTGTTTCCCTCCATTGAGACAGAGTAGAACATTACATCAAGAGTCATCACTACAAATTTTTAAATACTTTATGTCACATTGAACCTGGCAAACGTCCAGCCCAGCTGACATTCTTCCAATTTTAATACTTAAGACTATACCTGGAGCAAGTGTATTGACAGACTACATGAAAGATGTAATAATATGGAAAGACAGAACACTTCTATATATAGTCATTTCACTTTCTATCACCTGGAAAATGCCCAAGTAGGTTCTCTACATTTCACTGAAGATATATAGAATAACCATTACTGACAAGCTAGGATGCAGACAAGTCCAGAGAATGCTAAGGAAGTTATTATTTTTTTTTTTTAAAAAATTGGCTTATTTATTTATTTTGAGAGAGAGAGAGAGAGAGAGAGAGAGAATTCCAAGCAGGCTCTGCACTGTCAGCACCAAGCCCAATGTAGGACTTGAACTCACCAACTGTGAGATCATGACCTGAGCCAAGATCAAGAGTTGGATGCTTCACTGTCTGAGCCACCCAGAAACCCCAGAGATTATTGTTTTTTGAACACACCCTCTTCTAATATAGTCTACTAGTATAATAGCAATAAAATTTATAGATCAGATAAAACTTATCTCAGACTTTTCTTACTCACAGATAATAAAATGTGTAAGAACCGAGGGAACTTGGTGGTTGAGTATCACAACCCTGAGTTGTCCAAGGTGGAAGGAATTTTAGAGACCGTTGTCTCTCTCTCTCTCTTTATATCAAGGAGGAAACTGAGTCCCAAAGAGGGAAAGGGTCATATTTACAATCACACAGCAAGTCAGTGGTGACATAGATAAGACCCAGATCCCAAAAACAGTGTTTTCACAAAATTTAAATATTTTTTTCATTAAAGTAGAAAAAAATATAAAATGACAGTAAAAATTTTGGGCCTTTGTTCCAAATTATGGGAACTGACAACGTAGCCCAAGAGCAACATCAGGCAATCAGGTTTCACATTGTCTGGAAAAATCTCAGATGGTTGGCACAAGGCTTCAGCATTCTCTGAGACCAGTGACCAGTGAGGGGGAAGGTCAGCTGCATAGGGTGTTCATGAATAGACATGGGTCAGAGTCCATATCTGAGAACTGAAAGGTCTTAGAGGTCAACAAGTTTACCTTTTACTTGCCTTTCTGGTTCTGATGGACCTGGGAGAATAAAGAAGCGTCTCCAGATCAAGACAGGTTAGGAAGAACCTCTTCGCAGATCTGGGAGTATATCCAACAGCACTTCTCAGCAACAAATCCTCTGTGCGCAGATACTACCTTTGCTTCCTGGAAATCTTAGAGAATGAATTGAGGAAGCTTCTAATGTGGGTTTAACAGAGGTTCAGTGTCACTACTGCATTATAACAGCTGACCAGAATAGGAGTGTTGAATATTTGGACCTAAGGTCTATAAATCTTGTAGGTCAAGTACTCGTGTCTGGAATTTTAGACCACTAGTCTGGTGTCTAGAGTTTTATGCCATTCATCTAACACATTTAGTAAGTGCAATAAATTCTTTAAGAATTTGCAAACACCGTGTGGTCATTTAATTTAAACATTTTATGTAACCAAACTATCATAACAATCTTGTGATATAGTTGCTATCAGTGTTCCCATTTTACAGATGTGGAAACTAAAGCAGAGAAGATCCTGTATTTTGGTATAGGTCATATAGAACTAAGCCAGAATTCAAATCCAGACAGTGATATTCCAGAGTCTCTGATATCAAACACTCCCAAGCTACAAAATGGTCTGTCTCATTCCCCTTTCTGACATTTCCTCTTTTCAGGAGGTTTGGGGCTGGGTTTTGTGTGAGGTTGCTGAATGATCTCAGGAATAGTGTCCAGTAAGGGGGAAAAAATCACCCTTTCCTTTTTTTCCCATCTCATCAATGAACTATTAAAATAGGTAATAATAATAAGGGATATAGGTCTTTTGGATTTTTTATAGTTGAAGTTTTGAGGGCTCAGTAGAAAGTTTTACCTGTTGGAATTTTCAGGCTAATAATGGTCAGAATCAATAGCAAATAGATGTTTTAAATGGGAAGCCTTAGCAAAGAGTGCTGTTGAAGTTTAGGGAGTGGGGATCAAGAAGCCCCCACAGAGAAGCCACCCTGTGATGACATGATATCTGGATCTCTGTCTTCTGGGCATACAAGCCAAAGTATATCATCACAAGAGGGCTCCATTTTTTCATGAAAATGATGTAGATCAGGATGCTAATCCATTAATTTGCAATGAGAAGTGTAGTCACCCTGAGGACTGGAATACTTGCATAAGCATGGCCAGCACATTCTCACCCTCTAGGCAGACCAATGCGGGAAACCAAATTATAATCAGAAGGTTGCTTGATTAGCATGGAATTAGAGAAAGGATGGTAAGTGAGATGATTTTAGATTTAATGATGTGAGACAAAAACAGCCTGATCTGTCCATCTCCACAGCAGGGATAACCTTTCAAATAGCCATGCAATACTCACATTTTACCTACTTAAATTCCCTCTGCCCTCACAGAGTGTGGAGAGGCACAGCCAACTTTTCTCTTGTGATTATCATTTTTGTACAAGTGTTTTAGGACTGATCTCTCTCCTATTGGACAGAATTATCTTTTTTCCTAATGTGTTGCATATTTTTAGTTTGATTTGCCCAAGTCAAAAGAAAAAAAAATCTTTCTTTCATGTTATTTCCACTAACTGTTCTGATTTATCTTTGGCCTCCTGCTCAGAGAATAATTGAAGTTCCAAGTATTTCCATGTATTATTAACTTTATGATAAAAACCAAATAGGAAAAGCATGATTTCTTATGTCTGTACATTTTTCTTGTCAAAAAAGTTTATTAAATAAATAAATAAAGATTTGTTAAGGAGATTTAAAAAAAACTGAGGGTATGTTATAGACCCAATTCACATTCTACTCATATTCCCATATATTTTTATATCTTGAGTCCATGGATCAGGAAAATTAACTCTCAGAAAGATTATTTCAATGCCATACAAGTTCCTAAATATCAGACAACTATTTATTCACATTACTGAACTATTCTTATTAAAACAAGTAAAGTAATTCTGACTATAAAAAGCTATTTTCATCAAGTGTTAAAACCATAATTAGGTAGGTAGGTAGGTATTTTTGTCAAACTTTAAAATTCAGTTAGCCATAATATCTTATTCTGAGTTGACTTAGTTACAATAATTATATCTTATTATTGAGTCTTTGGCTCAACTGATATATTAACATTCATACCAACTGTATAAGAGATCTTAAACTTTTGACCATGATTCAGTGCCTGGAACTTGCTTTAGCCTCGGTAAACACTCAGAGGAATGAACATGGTTCTTAGATCCTTTCTTCCTTTGGTGGAACACTGTTAGTAGGGGGTCCTTATTCTCAGATGTGTAGCAGTACTGTCCACAACCTCTCCCACATTCAGTCCCTTCTCTAATCTCACTTTATCTTCAGCAGATATTTCCTGAAGAGTCTAATAGCTTCTCACTACAAAGGCCTGTATCTTTGCTTTTTTGACTGACAGATTTCTTCAGGTCTAGGGGACCAGGCCACCCTGAAAATAATGGATTTCTAGCACATCAAGGACAACCTGATTGAAGTTAGTCAGCAAATACCCCAGACTCCACAACTTCTGTGGAACAACTGCGTAGTTCATCTTTCAAGTCACTTGAATGTTCCCAGAGGGAGTGGAGGCCTGGTCCCTAAAGCATCACTCATATACTAACATACCGTTATTGGCTCCTCTGTCACCATTCCATCAACTTGTGCTTCCTGAGATTGCCTCTCAGATAAAGTCTGCTCAAATCTTTGTCGCAGTGTCTGCTTTCATGGGAACAAAAACAAAACAAAGCTCTCTACTTCTTACTTCCTATCACGATGAACTTGTCGTGGTAAGTCAATTAACCACATTCTACTATTAAACCTAGGGAATGAGTAGGACTACCTAGGACTATCCTAGGTCTACCTAGGACACTAAGTTATATGTAACTGACCTTTTGGTGATTTCTATTCTAGGACTAGAATAGAAAACAGTGTTCCCTATTTCTGAAAGCTCTCAACTGTAGGTGATACTAATTTTGCTTATGGTTCAATAAAAATTACATGACTACTCTTTAGTGAGAATTTGAACTTCTGAATTATTTATATTGCTTTTAGAAAAAACCTTGATAATATATTTAAAAGTCAGTTACAATGCTTATTGCCTTTGACCCATTGATTCCACCTTGGGGAACTTACTTAAAGGGAACTCCTGTTACAAAAGAGCATGTATGCTATAAACATGAAAATATGCATTTCAGGATTACTTACCATAACAACCAAAAAAAGGTTGAAAATGAATGTCTAACAGTGAGGAATGACAGACTAGATTATAATACATTAACTAGAAGTAAAATTATGAGCCGGAGGAGAGGATAGTAAAAAGCATGGTTTTGATGTGAAGGTAACTGGAAAAAAGCTATCAAAGGCTATATTTGTGTTACAATGACCTTGTGAGATTGATGTTTGCAGAGGGACAACAGCTAGAGTAGAAGTGGGTAAGGTTACCTATAATCTATCAAAATGGATGTTTTCTTTTTATCTAGTACTAAAACCATATTTGAGAAGCAAAGAATGGTGTTGGGGCTATAAATAGAATGTTTTTAAATGCCTGCAGATTTAGTCTCAAATCAGTCCCTAGAAGTAAATATAGCTTCAAAACAAAGGCTCAGTGTTTCCATCTAACTTTCTTCTCAGAAAAGGAATGAAACGCTCACCTCTGTTGAGTGTGTGGCCCTTGGACAAGAACTCTAGGATTAGACAGTGTCAAACAATTGTGAACCTTGTTAGACATTTGTCTTTACTTTTCTCCTCTACCAAAATAAAAATAGAGGGAATGGATAAAAGTATCAGGGGTGCCTGGGTGGCTCAGTCCATTACGTGCCCAACTTCAGTTCAGGTAATGATCTTGTGGTTTGTGAGTCTGAGCCCCTCATCTGTGCTGACAGCTCAGAGCCTGGAGCCTGCTTTGGATTCTGTGTCTCCCTGTCTCTCTGCTCCTCCCCTGCTTGCGTGCTCTCTCTCTCTCTTTCTCAAATAAATAAACATTTTTTAAGAAAGAGTATCACAACCATACCATCTACTTGGGAATCCTAGATTCAGAATGTTAGGATAAATAGACACCCTGAAAAGAGGAGATGATTCCAAGGAGGTAAGGGGTTTGCTAAAGTTAATTAGTGGTGGGACCAGAGTCAGCTTTTTTGAACATCACGGTAGGACTCCGTCAATTTCTTTATCTTTAGATGGAGTAATAGCTCATGCCCTACTTCAGCCTTTGGCTCTTATAGGGGTCAAATGAAAGGAAATTCATAAAAGGATTCTGTACATTGCATACCTGGTCCATGGTAAAGCAATGTTACATTGAAAAGAAAAATCAGGTGATAATGGTAGTTGCCTGTTTGATAATCTGTACAGATCAAAGGCACTTGCTCTTAGAGAGGGGATCATTATCTGGTAGATGAGATGCAGAATATTTGACTGCTTTCATATTAGGCTCTGAAGAATGGTCCCTTAGCCATGCCATGGGTGGCAGGTCAGCTAGAAGCTACTGATGCATGGTTCTCTGTCCTCAGTCATGACGGTGCCCATTCTTTGTATCTGCACCATCTGGGAATGATTCAGATATAGAAGACCTAGGGCTGCCAACTTGAGCTCTATCCCTTTTTTCTTGCTCATTTTTCAGTCACACTGCACATGTTGTCTCCCTGGATACTTAACTCTATTCTGTCTCACAAGGTCTCCTCTCCTGGGCCCAGCCAGAAGGTATTTCAACCCAGGCTTTTATAAGAATCCATACTGAGCTTCCCAAAACCTGTACATGCTCTTCACAAACAAAAAGTCTGCTAAGAGCTGTGTGGAAATATGAAAACAAATCTCTGGATATAGGAGATGCCCAACAAGGGCTAATTAAGAAAGCATAGAATTCTCTGTAAAGTAGCATAAGGTTCAAATCGTGAATAAGTAATTTAAACACTAAAAACAATATTATTCTCAAGTATTACATATATTATGAAAAAATATGATACAGTAGAATAAACAAGGGACTCGATGTTTAAGATTTGGGTTGTATTCCTGGTTCTGCCACAAACTTGGTCTGTGACTATGAACAGCTACTTGAATACTCTAGGCCCCTTTATAAAGTAAAGGGATTTTCTTAGATTATTCCTAATTTCCCTTTTAGCCCTGAAGTCCTACAATTATATATGCATAGAATTAAAAATGAAGAAAGATTATGTATATAACATATTTTTTTGATATGGAGACAAATTGGATATCAAATTGGCTTCCATTTTAAGAGAAAGATACAACAATAAAACAAAACGTTTGAGACATATATCACTCAAAACAATATCACTCATAGTTAATGTATCAACATAGGTTTCAATAAATAAAGTTTCAGTTCCACTTCAGAAAAGCAGAGTGCAATGAATAGTATATTTCTGTCAACTTTTTGTTTAAGTGGGGTCTTTCTAGCTTCCTCTTTTTCCCTCTGCCCTCCCCACCTGTCTACAGAATAGTGTAGATTTTAAGAACACCCATTCAGCCATACTGAGGTCAAAGTCAAGGTCTGCCTCTATCTAGCTGGATGACCTTAGAAAACTTTCTGTGTCTCATTAAAAATAATTACAATGATAGTACTTACCTTGAAGGGTAGCTGCAAAGATTAAATGGCATTATATATAAAGCTCTTAAAATACCGGAAGGACTTAGTATGTGTTAACTCTTAAGAGTATAAATACTGTAGAGCATATTAATACCTATTTACCCTTTATAGATGGGAGATCACATCTGGAGAATAAAAGTAAAGAATCTGATATAGAAGCATGGTTATTGTCTACAGGATATCCAGATAGCAATGGCTAGCAGGCAGTTCAAAACTACAACTGTAGTTCAGAGAGAGATCCAGGCTGAAGGTTTATATTTGTCAGGCTATCCACATAAGCAGAGATTTCATATCTAGAAATGGCTAACATTAGCTATGAACAAAAATTGTGTTGTGTGAGGAGAGATGAGGGTAAAAGAACAAGACTTTATCTTGACACCTACTCTTAAGGAACAAGTTGGTATAAATGAACCAGTATAAGCTTCTGAGAGAGGAAGAGAAGAGAGTGATTCCATAAGTGCCAAAGTTTCACACACAAGGTACTCAAAACAGTCAAGCTATGTAGACTTGAATCCAGATAAAGGCTGAGAAAAAGTCATTGCATCTGACAATTCAAAGATTATTGCTAACCTTTGAGGAAGCTGTCTTGGAGGAGATGATGAAAGATGAAACTCGGTTTCAGCTGGCTAAGGAATAAATGGGAGATGAAAAACACAAGGTGGGGAGTATAGGTTACTATCTCAATATGTAGTCAGGCAAATGGAGTTCATAGCCTGATGGAGCTGAGAAGGAACACAAATACTCACAGGTACATATCAAGAGAGTCATGTATTTTTAAGACATGACTTAATAGTTTGTGCATTCCATTGTGGCAAAAGTATTGAAAGTAATGATATGCAATAGAGCTTTCACTGGAAAATAGCTTTAAACTACTGTGATAAAATACAGAATTTCAGAGGGTTAAAATAGCCATTTGGTAAATATCAGAAAGGCTATATATACTCTTAGCTTTTTGTTATATAATCAAGTCTATACGATATCAAACAAGTTAAGTAGGAAAGGTTAGTTAATTAGCCCATGTTTTGCCTGCATGATAGACAAATAGCTGCTTTGTCTGATTTTCTTACTAAATTGACACAATTGAACATTGGTGGTGGCATCATTTAGAGAAGACCTCAGGTGTTTAAATAAGGCATTGCTTATCTAAATTGTATTACATGACTAGGCTTTGTTCATTCACAAAGGTAAGGCAAGATAAATATATATGTACAAATATGGATACATATTGTATATGTGTATATACATATACATACATACATGTGTATATATGCACACAAATATGCATGTATAAAACACACAAATATAATCTTACCTCAATATTTAGCACTTAGCTGATTTTTTTTAAAGCTAACAATTTTTAACAAATATTTAGAATTCTGAAGGTGAAACTTGGTGTATCCCATATTATTTCTTCGGTTTAAGTCAGAGAAGAGGAGTCAGGTTACTATTTATAAAGTTCATTCTACCTGAGATGGTAGAAAGTGAAAGGAAGAAAGGAGGGAAAATGCCAAGGACTAAGTTTGTGAATAGGGTAAGAGAGATAAACAAGAAATCTGGAGGGAAAATAAAACAAACAGATAAACAAGCAAACAAAAAACCCATTACTTCTGCAAATCACAAGGAAGCTAAGGGCAACTGAAGAGGTCCTTGTTGGTGAATTCAGTTCTTATCCTGGATATCTTTTCCAACTATCGAAGCAAGACATTTTGAGGAAGATTTCTAGGGTGATAGCTGAAATTTTCACATTGGAATTAGTTTAGATCTCCAGATCTCTGACTCATGACCTCCTAAACAGAATATAACATTTGCTCACAGAAGAAGGAAGGCAAGTTAATCTAGCGGAATACTTTTAAGCAGCTTCCAAGAAGAAACATTTTTATCCTCAATGCTTAAATAGGAGAAAAGGCTAAAATTAGCTCTAACAGACCTCTGAATTGTCCAATAAATGTCACTGCAATTGCTCTCAAATAAAATAACCTTATGCCAAGTAGGAAAGGTCAAATAACATAATATGAATACCGTTATCAATGACTAATTCAATGTTTGTCACCATTTTAGACATTTCAGCAAGAAAGAGCTATAATGATTATTAAACATTTGTTATTATGAACGTTTTCCGTGAAAAACTATTCTTTCTCAAAATAGATTTTGAAAATACATGTAACATTGATGGCTGGCATGGTGTTGTCACAGGAAAGTGCAGTAGTGAGAAAGATCCATAATAGAGACAGACTCCTGGCTCACAGAAGTGTGAGAAGGTGCTAATGCATAAATATGAATTGGTCGCAGTTGTTTCTACCATTACAGAAACTCTGACGCCAGATACATTTGTTTTCAAAGAGAGAGTCTGCCCCATTTTGTGTTTACTCAAAAGAAAGAAGGAGAGAAATGAAATACGAAAGTCCAAGAGCAAATTTTAAAACACATCAAATTTGACCTAAGTAGTTTCTCTTCCCTTCTATATTCACATATCTCTTCTATTCCTACCACAATTAGGTGCTTCTTCTGGGTTTTATTTTTTAAGGATTCTGTTCTCAACTAGGAGTCAATAAAGACAGCCTAAGTAGCTATTAAGATTCAGTTCTTCTGGAGTATCTGAATTTTAAACAATCAGCAGATACTTACTGTGCACCACATCTCATGTGTGTAGCACTGTGGGGTTACAGAAGACCTAGCTATTGCTCAAGCGTATTATCTTAGTTGGGTTGATAAGTAGAGATGGTAAGAAGAAGAATAAAGAGGATAGCTGATTAATTGGTATTGAGAAAATCACTGTCCTATAGCATTATCTGATCCAAACAATTTAGTAATATGAGAAAGTATAATCTTCTGGTGAGAATTATTCAATCTGGAGCCAGCTTACTGGGCTTCACCTCTTGGTTTTGCTATGTACTAGTTGTATGACCTTGGGCTTTGGTTTTCATATATTTAACATGGAAACAATTAGGTACCTTCCTCCGAGACTTGTATTATATAGTATTATATATTAACTTCATAGGTATATACTTATATAGTGTTTGTTATGCTCCATGTATTACTTTAAGCATCAATGTTATTGTTATAAATAGATGGTCATAATTGGGTACCATTGTTTATTTTACTCCAGGAAACACACCATTGGTGATTACATGCTAAACACGTTATTGGCTTTCAAATAGATAAATTATGCAGTGTGCTCCTCAACAATAAACATTGAATAATTACTTTGTCCAAATCTTTTCAGGGTGCTGTTACACTGTAGTAATCATCATAACATCCATGCCATTGTGGAGCCAATATCCCAGTCGAGGAGGCAGATTAAAGAGTTGTATAGTCAGATAATGTCAAGTAATAGTGATTTCCCTGATGGTAAAAGAATAATGAGTGGTGAATGTGCCATTTTATTTTGTTTTATTTTTAAATTTTAGTTGCCTTTTAGTTAACATAGTTAACTGTTAGTTAACATACAGTGCAGTATTGGTTTTCAGAGTACAATTCAGTGATTCATCACTTAGATAAAACACCCAGTGCTCATCACAAGTACCCTCCTTAATGCCCATCACCCATTTAACCCTTCCCACCTCCCTCCCTCAACCTTCAATTTGTTCTCTATCCTTAAAAGTCTCTTGTTGTATATTTCCTTCTCTCCTCTCCCCTCCTTCCCATATGTTTATCTGTTTTGTTTATTAAATTCCACCTATTAGTGAAATCTTATCATATTTGTCTTTCTCTGATTGACTTATTTTGCTTATAATAATATGCTCTAGCTCCATCTACTTCATTGCAAATGGCATGATTTCATTCTTTTTATGGTTGAGTAATATTCTATTGTATATATATTATGTATATACACCACATCTTCTTTATCTGTTCATCATTCAATGGACATTTGGGCTCTTCCCATAGTTTGGCTATTGTTGATAATGCTACTATAAATATTTGTGTGCATCTACCCCTTTGAATCTGTGTTTTTGTATCCTTGTGGTAAATGAAGGTGTCATTTTATTATTATTATTTTTTAATTTTAAAAAAAGTTGATGTTTATTTTTGAGAGAGACAGAGGGAGGGAGAGAGAGAGAGCATGCAAGTGTGGCAGGGACCAAGAGAGGTAAACACAGAGTCTGAAGCAGGCTCTAAGCTCTGAGCTATCATCACAGAGCCCAATGCAGGGCTCAAAATCACCAATGGTGAGAATGTGGCCTGAGCCAAAGTTAGACCCTTAATCAACAAAGCAACTCAGGTGCCCCTGAAGGTGCCATTTTATTTTATTTTTTAATTTTTTAAATGTTTATACATTTTTGAGACAGAGAGAAACAGAATATGAGTGTGGGAAAGGCAGAGAGAGGGAGACAAAAAATCCAAAGCAGGCTCCAGGCTCTGAGCTGACAGCACAGAGTCCAACACGGGACTCGAACTCACAGATTGTGAGATCATGACCTGAGCTGATGTCAGACACTTAATCGACTGAGCCACCCAGGTGCCCTGAAGGTGTCATTTTAAATAGTATTGTCAAGAAAGGTTTCCTTGAGGACCTGGTCTATGAGTACAGCTTTGGGTTTGGTGAGGGAGAAAGCTATGTGAATGTCTGGAGGATACACATTCCTCACCAGAGTGGTGAATGCAAAAGCCCTTAGACTGGAAGTTATGTAATGTGTTCAAGTAATAATGAGCAGCTCATTTCATTTATTGAGCAAATGAAGGACCAAAAGGCATAGGGGTGGGAAATGAGTATGAGACAGTGAGGGCAGATCATAGAGAAGCTGGTGGACAAGGGTCTTATTCTTAATACATTGACAAGTCATTGGAGAGCCAAAAGCCTTGGCGTGACATGGTCTCATTTAGATTTGGAAGCATTGGAAGTGTTTATGGGTAGGTTATAGTCCAGAGTGTAGAGACAGATAATACTAAACAAAAAAATGAGTTAGGAAGCTCTTTCAGTTGAAGTGAAAGTTGGGACATGGGGATAAAAGTGGAGGAGAGTGCTATTATGAGATTTGGCACATCAAAAATGGAAAAGGAGATTTTTCTGACTCAGCATACCTACAGTTTCTGACCACAATCACTGTGGCCTTCGCCCTATTTCTCCTGATAAATAAAGTGTATAGCAAAGACAGTGAGGATGATCTTCCTGTAGGATATAAATTGTGAAAAATACAAATTATTTACCAATGACTGTGTTATTGAAGACAGATTATGTGTGATGCATCAACTTTGCTGCCTCCACCTGCGGGGGCTGACATATTTGGGGGAGGCCAAACCAGAGAGGTGAGACAGAGCTGGGTCTTTAATGAGTGGGTCAGGTTCTGGCTCAGAACAGGGAGGATAAAGGCATTCCATTAATGGCCAGCTATGGAATATGGCCGTTTCTCCAGACCCTTAGTGGATGCCTTGGGGAGGGATGAAAGGTAGAGAACTGCCACTTGGCAGACAGGAGTCTCTGTTCCCTCTCTCTAATGAAATACATCTTGCTTTACTGACTCACCAGGCTCTCAAGGACAAGTATGCAGGAGGAAATATCTCGATAAGCAAAGAATCTTATTGTTCCTTCCAGTGGTGTCTGTCATTCCTCCCCTCTCTCCCTGAGAGTTGTTTGCTGGGGGATGAACATGTTGTCTCCAGCCCCTTTCAGGTTTAGCATTTAGACGTGAATACAAAAGATTCATTGCACCAAATTAATATTATGAGGCCATCTTATAGGACCACAGCTGCCTTTTTATGCAGCAACACTAAATGAATTCTCTTCTTCATTGGAGTCCAGATGGCTAAAGAGGAAAGGCCGGAAACCACATGAAAAACCCAGTGCCAGAGTCCTAAAGATGGTAGAAAAAGTCCCTGACACTAAACCACATGACAGTGGAAGTCACTTAGCTCAGTGACAGGGGTGAACACATTCTTTCTCACCAGGGGATGGGGACATGGCTCAGCAGGTCTGAGTAGCTCTGGCAGCAGGAGTTGTCTGTGGTGAGGAAGCCAACCCAAAGCCTTTGTCCTGAAGGGAAGTATATGTTTCCGCTACTGATAAAAGAGCAGGATGGTGACCTGACATTGCTACGCCCTAGACACTTTGTCCAGCCTATGCCCTTGCCTACAGTTTTCCCATCAGTATGTTCCTCCATTCTCTTCATGTGCTGACATTTTACTTGTTGTTCCAAACTATTTCATTTATGACTATAAGCAAGGTTCTTTATCACTTCTAAAAAAAGGTAAAACAAAAGCAACAAAAATGAGTAGGGAAAAATACATGTAGACTTACATACTTAAAATACACAGGCTAAGGGGCTCCTGGGTTGCTCAGTTGGTTAAGCATCTTGATTTTGGCTCAAGTCATGATTTCATGGTTGTGAGATCAAGCCCCATGTCAGGCTCCTTGCTGGGCATGGGGGCTTTTTAGGATTCTCTCTTTCTCAGGGTGCCTGGGTGGCTCAGTTGGTTAAGCATTGGACTATTTGGGCTCAGTTCGTGAGCTTATGGTTCATGATTTGAGCCCTGCAATCGGCTCTGTGCTGACAGTTCAGAGCCTGTATCTTGCTTCAGATTATGTTTCCTTTTCTCTCCCCCTCTCTGGCTTGCACTCTGCCTCTGTCTCTTACAAATAAATAAATGTTAAAAAGAATAGGATTAAAAAGGATTCTCTCTCTCTCTCTCTCTTTCTCTCTCTTTCCCCCTCTCTCCCTCCCTCCCTTTGTCTCTCCTCTGCTTGTGCTCATATGCTCTTTATAAATAAATAAGTAAGTAAGTAGGTAAATAAATAAATAAAATATACCAGTTAAGTCCAATGGTGGAGGCTCCATTTCAGGCATGGCTACACTCAGCTCTTAAATGACGTCACCAACAATAGGGATATGAGGATAGATTCTAGGCATAGAAACACTGTCAAACAATAGGAAGATACTAGTCATATTGAGGGAGGCAGCTTTCCATTGGGTTAAAGCCATAGCAAGCCTCATTGGCCTGATGGTCATAAACTATGTGTCTACACCTGAACTTTGTATCATGGCCTGGAGCATGGACTCTCCTCCCTGGCCCCAATCTTGCCACCTGCTGACACATAGCAAGATGGAGTCAGCACCACCAGAGCACAATGGCAGAAACTGAGGAAGAGCAAGTCCTCGCAATAAAAAATATCATAAGATTCTATTATGGCAGAAAGGAAAAGTTGTTGCTGTATGGAGGGGGAAAAAAGCCATTACCACCACTACCACCACCACCACCACCACCAAATCACCTACAAATGCCCACTAATGAGGCTTTGTTCATATTTCCTTTCCTTCAGGGACTTTTTCCTAATATTCCAGCCAGAAGTAAAACCTTCCTCTCTAAATACACTCCATTAAGCAGTTTTGTTTGTCTTGTCATTTTACTTGCATGTGTGCTTTCTCTCTGGTGTAGTCCTCCATGACAGGCCCTTTGTTCTATCTGCACCTGAATTGAACATGGACTGTAGCACAGTGTGTTCCATATGGAACATGTGTTATTAAGAAAAGATTATTATTGTGTTTATAGATTTTTGGGGAGATTTGAAGAATTGGTTAAACAATTTTTTAGAAAATGAAGTAGGAGTCAATGATTAAAGAGCCATGAAAATCAGTTAGGAACAGTTTTTGTGGGTTTCTCTTACCATTAACACTTATTATTTACTGTCCTATTTAAGATTTTCATAGATCCTTATTCATAATTTCATTTTCTAAAAATAATATTAACCAATATTTGTTGAATGCCTTATATGTATAGGGCATGAGTAATGCAAATTTCCTTTATAATCTCAATTTCGTATACAAGCCCAGGATCATAATCTCTATTTTACAGATTATGATTCTGAAGTGTGGAGAGATTAAAACACTGAGCCCAACTGGAGAGACAGAGTTAGGTAGAGACTCGATTTGAATTTAGTTCTGACTAAAAAACAAACACAAGCAAACAAACAAAGAAACAAAAAGGGTTTTTTTTGTGTTTTTTTTTTTTACCATACCATTTTACATAAGCTTTCACACTTATGAATCCTTTTTCCATCACCTAGAAGTAGGCTGATGATTTTGTAGATAGTTATTAGAAAATGAGGGTATGGTTTTACCAGGTAATAATACATTTTCCTCCCTCCCTCTCTCCCTTCCTTCCTCCCTTTGTTATTATCTTTGAAGAATAAGTTGTGTGGCAGTCAAGATTTAGAAAGATGGAATGACATTGGGGCTTTCTGTTTGGCTTCTTGGGGTGAAGGCTCAATCACTCACTCTACTACTGAACATGCTACGATCTTGAACAAGATAGTAAATCGTTGTTTCTTTCTTAAAATGTGGCTAAAATAATAGTACTTACTTTAAAGAGTTGCTATGAGAATTAAATGGAATACTTTATTCATGC